AGTAAATTATATTTCATGTTTTTTCTTTCTTCATTTTATTGAGATTCTTCTGTAGATAAACTTTTCGAATAAATCTTCAGATGTGAATCGTGAATATATTAGACTTTTATACATAGAGTTATAGTAACTCAAGGAAGCAATTTAGTTAATGGTAAAAATACGTAAAGACAATTACAAAGAGTCATAGGTTTAGGTGAAACTATTTCTCGTTTCTTAAGAATCATGTTAGATAAGTTACATTTTTGTTTGTTTGTGTTAATTTCATTAGGATATTTTTAAGTTAAATTACATTCAAAAATTCATAAAATTGTTAGAATATGAATAATAAAAAATTTAGAATATAAATAAATGGTTTATCGAATTGCTGTAGAAGTAGTGCTTGTAGAAGTGTGTCTGTACTAGTAGAATGGTACTAGTAGAATGTACTAGTAGAATATATTTGTAAATGCATGTATAATAAATAATAATGTAGTAATGTTATTACGTATTATAATATAATATGTATATATAATATACATAATATAATATAATAGTAGTAATATTTCTGTATATAGTAATATATGTAGTAATATCATAATATAGTAGTATATAACAGGAGTAATGGAAGATATTTTATTTTTGTTTGTCTTTAAACTTTATAATTATCAATGTTTTATATTTTCATGAGAATAATTATAATATAATATGTATATATAATATACATAATATAATATAATAGTAGTAATATTTCTGTATATAGTAATGTATGTAGTAATATCATAGTATAGTAGTATATAACAGGAGTAGTGAAAGATATTTTATTTTTGTTTGTCTTTAAACTTTATAATTATCAATATTTTATATTTTCATGACAATGATTGTACAAAATATTGGTACATGTAGGAAGTATTGTTTCTGTGCCTCATTTAATTTTTGCTTTCAAGTTTAGCATAGGTCGCATAGATTTTCCTTAAGATTTCTTCTCTTATTCGTTTTACAAAACGATCAATGATTGAATGTTTTGCAAATCTGATGTTAAGAAATATTGGTGAGAAGTGTTTATTCATGTATTAGTAGTTAGATGAATAATAGCATTTAAATCAGAGTATATCGTATTGGGACATAAATTGTGCGATGTCTATTAAATTCGTTTCGTACATGTAGCAAATTTTCGTAATAGGTTATTGGCAAATTGCATGAAATTTCTTTTCGAAACTGTGACGAATGAAGATATTTTGGCATATAAATACATGTATTTTTTTTTTCGATGATAATATAAATAATGCAATTTCTATTTTGGCTTCGATAAATCGCAGAGTTATGATTATTATTTTTTCGAAGTACTTTAAAACGTAAGACATACTTTAAACATAACAAATCACCGATTATGTATATGCATAGATTAATTCAATTTTATCTACGGAAGAATATTTTTGTATTCCGTCTTCTGCAATTTATCGTAATAAACGTAAAAAGAAACTATATTTTATCTTTTGGAAAAAAATATTAATAGGTATAGGGTATACGTATTTGTTAGGAGAAGATTATCAGTTGTTTTGTCTCGAAAAAAATCTGTCGCATAATACACAATTACTTTTACTCAATACAATTGAAAAATAACTGTATTTTATTTAAATTTTTACTTATATAATAGTCTTGTTAATCCTTTGCGGTTTTATCTATTTCCTGAATTAATGTAAAATAAATAGGTAAAGAATAAAAGATATTTATATTTTTCTTTTATTGAAATTTTTCGGTAGATAGATTTCACAAATCTTTAAAAAATTTTTGAAAAGAAATTTTTGAAGGAAATTGAAGATCAGTGCCATCTGTAGGAGATCGTAGTTGTAACTGATATGGACAAAGAAAACAAATAACGTAGAGAAAAGATAGAGATAGTGTTAGAATTGATCAACGTCGCCATCTCTGGAGAACTCGCTACATCTCTTTAATAACAGAATAACTTAGCAATTGATGATAACTGCCGCGTATAGAATAGTATCTAGATATTCATTTGGAATCATTCGATAGATGGCACTGCAGTTCGATTCTTACTCTACTTTATCTTTCTTTTGAAGAAGTGTTCTTGACATTCGAGAGATGGCGTTGCTGATCAATTTTGATTCTTTTATTTACTTCTTTGTACAATTTAATTTTTATTTTGCAAGTTCAGCGTAAATTTTTCTTAAAATTTCTTTTGTTACTTGGTTTGTAAAATCATTAATGATTGAATGTTTTGCAAACTTGATATTAATGAATAGTTCATATGTAGTAATTAAATAATAATAATAGGAATTTTTTTTAAATTTGAGTGTATTGATAAATTATGACCAATTTTTATTAGATTCATTTTATTCATATAGTATGTTGTCGTTATAGCTTATTATTGAGTTGTATCTTGAATAAAATTTCATTTCCGAATTTTGAATATTTTTAAGATTGTGCATTTTTTTTTTTTATTTTTCGTTTTTTGATATGTTAAATATAGTTTCTTTTTTCTTATAGTTTTTTAATGTATCTTGTATATTGTTTTTTTTTATAAAATGTTGTTGTCACGAACACTGTTTTATCGATATTTGAAGTCGGTATTTTAGAATATGAGGAAGGAAGCATAGGTAAATAAGAATTTTTCTTGTATCTAATCTGTGATTTATGTGTCTTTTCTTTTTTTCGAAGTCGATATTTCAGATTGTGCATGACGAAATTTCATAATTTATCACGTCTATTCTTAGTAGATTATGGTTATTTATATAGTTCATGTAAATGTATTTTTCCATATATTGTAATTGTATATTTTATGTAAATTCTGTTATTGGTATTTAGATTTCGTTACAAATTCAATATATATTGTTCCGTTGATAACTTATATTATTTATCATAAGAGCTTGCAAACTTCATGAATATAGTCCGTATCTTACGTGTATAATTTGAATATCATCGAGTATTGTAGATATGTTCCATAGTAGCGTTCTCATACGATTGGCAAATATTGTTGCGGAGAGGAACAAGCAAAAGACAGAATGTATTAAAGCTAAAACTAAAGGTTGCACGCGAAGCGGCGCCACGCCCGCCCCGCCATATGGAGCAGAATTGGTGGAATTAGAGGGGAGATAGTCAGTTGGCGCAGTCGCTCGCCGCGTTTTATGCAACCAGTCTTGCTTCGGAGCGAGTGAAACTACTGCTCCAGCCTTTGACAGACGAGGAAAGTGTGTGTAGTGACATCAGTGTCTGTCTGGCCGCTTCTCACTGATCGGTCTTGTTAATTGTACGACCGACTGCTCCGTAGAAGCAACCGATTCGGCCAGATCCGGTTTTCTTCGTGCTTGAGTCAGGATACGACCGTGTAATCGTCTGTATTACGTATTGTCGTTAGTTGTGTATGCTGTCTTTGCCGGCGATAGTAAAGTAAGGCTTAAAGGCGGTGTCGATTGTGTCTTGGGCACCCTTGCCATCGTGGAAAATATTACATACAGTTTAATAATATAACTCAGCTATACGGTTGCAGACTCGCGTGTACTGATCGGAGTGCCAGTGCAACGATAATCGGGCGTGCTACACGGGTGTATTATCCATGGCTGTGTACATATATATGTGTGTATGTGCGTAACGTGCGCGTAGAGGAAAACGAATACGTTGCTGTCGGTGGAAGAGAGAGATAGAAGGAGTGAAGAGGGTGGGAGAACGAAGGCGGCCGTGAATCCACGATACGCGGCTACGTTCACGCCGCCGCGTATTCCACACGGCACGACACGAAACACAACAGCTCCGTCGGCTTAGGCTACGAGAGGAGAAAGACGTATATCTGCATACCTTACGAATTATTACGAATCCGCATAGCTTTGACGCGCCTTTTGGCGCGTATATCATCCTCGTTCGGTCGACTTCTTCGACCTCCTCGTCGCTATTATGGCGGACGACGAGGTTCTCTTCGACGAGGTTTACGAGCTCTGCGAGATTATCGGCAAGTGAGTAACGAATCCGTGAGAAAGAATAAGACAGCTGCGTTATACGGGTGTGAGTCATACTGAATGAAAGGGAGGGGGCAAGTGTCAAAATGCGAATCAGCTTGAAAGGAGGGGTGAAAGGGATGTAAGATACTGTACAACGGTGAGAGGAATATAGTACTTTGACAGTTAAACGATACGTGAATGCTTGTATGCGTGCTATTTGATATGCGTAGCGTGTGTATAGCTTAGGTTATGCGTGCACGTATTGAATCCGGGGTTGGTTGCGCGCGCGTAAGCATGCACCGCGTGTACGAACGATGACGTATATTTGTTGACTAAGGGCGAATGGGTAAGTAACAATGCAAAAGCAAGAAAAATATGCGTGTTGAATAAGAAAACTGATCTACGTGCAATCCATACAAGTTTTATTTCAAGTTTTCATAGATTATTTAGCAATGTAATCCATCCTCTTAATGCAAATACAAATTTCTTTTTTATTTATAGTCATATATGCAAGATATATGCAAGATATTATTATTATTATATTTATTTTATATCATTTTCACGTAATTATAACAGTTGATTATTCATATGAATATTTAAATATATTTTAGGATATCTGATATGATTTAGATATTATATTATCACGAAATTAATTTTAAATTACATAAAATGACATAAAATAAAAATAATAATTATGTATTTTTAAAAGTTTATAAATAGAAACTAACTAATTACGAGATATTATCTATCAGTTTTACACAAAAAATATTGATAAAGATATCAATAATAATGATAAAATTATTACATAAACGTGACATCATTAATATGCTTTATAGTGTGTTTCCTTCATTTAGAAAAATATAAAATAAAAAGTTTGATCATCAAACATTATTTTAAACTCAATAAATCATACAAAATTACGAAATTTCTATAAAATAAAATCATGAAAAAATAACTTTTTAAATTTTTTTTTAATTTTTTCATTCTCTTAAAATACAAACTTTTTTTTTTATTGCTTTTTTAGTACTTTATATTAAAGTTATATGTATATATAGACTTTATATATGCTACAAAAGTAAAAGTTCAAAATTCATGGAATAGTTTGTCTTTGTATTTTATTTTGTATAATATATAATCTCTTTATTTTTTATGGATATTGTTAAACATGAAAAGAATGATTTAAGATTTAAAGAATGATTTTTGTTTATTTATTTGTTTATTAAGTTATATAACTATATAAACAATAATAAGCAAAACATCGTATGATTTATTTTTGCAAGCAGAGATGTAGTCAAAAAATTTTTTTTTAACTTTATTTAGGAATTTTTATGATTTTTTATATTTTCATTTTCATAAAAAAAAAGATATTTTCATATTTTCATAAAAAAAAAGATTGTATGTCTCAAATATTCTTAAATATTCTTTGTTAATCTTAAGAATAAAATATTCAATAAAAAAATATAAAATTTTTATTTGTCATCCGTAAAATTGAAAAAAATCGAAATATATAGGAAAAAAATAGAAGAATATAATTTTAGAATAAAGTCCTTCAGTTATTTAATATCAATTTAAATCAACATTCAATATTTTATTTTATGTCCAACTTTTTTTTTTATTTAAATTCTCGAAATCACGGAAACCTACCTCGATGAAATGCAATAAAAATAGTAATGCATAAAACGAGCTCGATAATAAAATATTTGAAAATCTAGATCGCCCTGAAACTTTATATTATATTTCAAATACGATATAACAAATTATTACAACCTATTTTATGTCATTTCATGTTTATAGATAATATAGTCAGTGATAAATTCACTCTCATTCGATAAAACAAGAGCTTCGATTCGCGCGAAATTCTGTGACGAACGTGCTTCTCATAACATTCTAACCAATCCTCTCAAACGATAAATAAACTCACGTTACCTATTCCCTGTTATTGTTTCATTCTTTCTTTCGTAGATCTCACTATCCATAAATTTAAATACTAATTAAAAAATCCAATCTATCGAGTGATCACATCGATGAGAAGAAATGGAAATTCGGAACGTGAGAGGATGAAAAAAGCGTTGCGGCACATACGTTTCCCTCGACTCGTTCGAGCGACTGAGTAAAGGAGAGGAGTTTCCAATAAATATACGAAATTGCAGTAGCGAGCCTTAACGCTGGCAGATAGCAGGTGAAATGCAACTTGGCCGCCACTTCTTTTACGATGGCTCGCCCTACTTTTCATCCCCCTCGTAACTCACTGCCGTGGAGGGTCGTGTATACAGCGGCTATGTGCACATGTTTTCTGAAAAGTTAGAGTAAATTCTTGATGATGGAATTCGCCCTTGAACTTAATTGCGAACCAGTCGGCCGCTGGTGTGGACCTGTTGTAGATAATAAAGAAAGCTTATCACATCGATTTCCCCATCTCGATGATCACTTAGACGTCACGTGTGTTTTTCTTCGATGGATTTGTTGACCGAGCAAATATTAAACTCATACGATCAAGTTCAATGTAATGAGATATTGCAAAATCTCGAGAATATTCGGAAAAGATCGAGATCGAATTAGTATGAGATAAGAAATGTATAGAGTTTCTGAAGTGATTCATATTTAGAAATCGTTTATTTTTGAAGTGTAGTAAAATAGTGATTGAAAAAATGTAATGAAAAATTTTCGTATTTTTATTTTGAAGAATGAAAGAATATAAATGCATTTTGTGTGCAATGTGTAATGAAATGTGTAATGAAATGCAATGTGTAATGAAAGAGTATTATATTTCATCTATTATACTTATATCATATTTATATTTTAGAAAAAATTGTATATTTTTTTAATATTTTAATATTTCTCTCTTTTATAATAGTTGTGATGTTTATGTAGTTTTTAAAATCATATTTTTATGACACAATTTCTTCTGTGTTTAGTTTTTTAGGTATTTAGTTATTATATCATATTTATACTACTAGATATTTCATTGTTCATTATTTTATATCTGTTTTCAGTTGTTTTTATTATTATATACGTTGTTAGATTTCATATTCCAACGTTATTTTTTTTTTATTTAATGAATTTCTGAAGATATCATTTTATAATTGATAGTACATGACATAGTAAATTTGAAGAATTATTTTTTTATAACATTTTTTTTTTATTATACTTTTGTGATAATGTGATGTGTTGCATTAGAATATTTTTTAGGGTATGAAGTACTTTACATATATACATTTATCATAGAACGTATTTTCGAGTGCTCTATAAATACAAAGTCCTTTTAATGGATTTTCCTTCCAAATGATTATTTGTATCAAGTAGTTTCTTCCTCAAAGAGAAAATTTTGCTCTAAAATTTCCCTTAATTCGGATTATTCGAATAGGTACTTTTTATAAGTTTTATAATTACATCTAAAATGGAATAAAAAGATTATAGAACTTAATATGAAAATATTATCCATTTTAGCTTTCCTACTTTATGTAATGAAAAGTGTTATCATCATACAAACTATTTCTCTCTCAAAAAATAGTTTTAAAGATAAAAATTAAAATAAGATATTGTAGATTATAGGATAAACATTATTTTAGATTTTCTTTTTTCTAAAAACTATAGGCAAGAAAAATATATCATATTTATATTTCATTAAAAAAAATTGAAACTGATAAATAAAAAAGGTTAAATCATAATACTAGTTTTTCGATAAAGATAAAATGTAAGAATAGGTTAACTTTACTTAAGCCATATAGATGCCATTAGTTAACTTTATCGAGGTTAATTGTTTTCTGAAAACTTAAATCTTGATCATAAAATTAAGAATTTTTTAGAAAATAGATAATAGGTTTGATTTCTAAAGTGATTTATTTATATTAGTTTAAATTACATGATATTTTTTTCTCTTGTTTTTATCATATAAAATATGATTGCAGCGTTTTGTGAAAAATGTATATAAAATGTTATGCAAAATTAAGTATGTAATTTTACAAGGAATCTGTTTATTGTTCTTACTCTTCGCTTTTATAAACGTTATACGGATAACTTAGTTATTATCGAAGCAATAGATGCGCCATTTGTTTCTTATATCTTCTCTTTGGGATGATGCCAATTGTTACCGATGATATGAAGTTGGATTCTACTTCATAGGAAAGGTGCCATCGATCCTAATGAATCGTTACGTTTTAAATGGAACGATACAGAGTCGTTAATAGTTGAAAATTCGTGGAATGTTTCTGATGTAATATTTTGTTCTTCGAATTTTAAATAATAAAATTTACCAATGATTACATACACACATATATATATTTTTATTCGATATGTAATTAAATGTGAAAACAATATCGTATGATTTTATTTCTAAACAATAATACAAGTAGAAAGAAGCAAAGCAAAATTTAATGTAATAATAATAAAAGAAATAAAATCATATCATTTCTTACATAATAAAATGGCGACAAAATTAAATTTATTTAGTATATATTATAATATATATTATAGTATAATAATATATAATATATATTATAATTAAATATACATTGAATAATAAGATTCAGTTTTATTATTTTTCATTGCAAGATTACTTTAATAAATTTCAAATTTCCTTTAATAAGTTTCATTAAAATGGAATAGAATTTCATCAGCGTTCATATTACTCATTACAGTGAAAGGAATTCCAAGTTTTTTCATTTATTACTTTAGTTTTTAATATTTATTATTATTGTATTATTAAAGTATTATTATGAAAATTATTATTATTGTAATAAATAAGACAGGAGAAATCATTTAGAATTTTAGTATCAGTACATTTATTTGCACAAAAACCATAAGCGATTTATCAGGAATTTTTTCTTGTCAAATACGTCAAGTATTTCTCTTTTAACCATTCATACTTTTCCTGTTGACATATCGTAAAATCCAATATAGTTCTATTAAAATATCGACCACATTCGACTTTGATATTCTCGGAATCGATGCTCGAAGATTATAACAGGCTTGATTGAGATTTCCCAAATGGTCTCACGTTAATATCATTTCTGTCA